TCGGAAATCAGAAGTTCGAGTACTGCATGCTGCTGACTGGACAGAGCCACGTCACCAGCAGCGACACTCCAGAAGCGAAGGGGAGTGTTGGAAACAATCGATCTTAAACGCCTCTGTCGTGTCGAAACACCGAGACACAAGTGAAGCAAGATATATCGGAGCACCCGCGAGTCAACCCTCGGAGGTTGAAGTAACCGCTGGAGGTTACGCGAAAGTCAAAGGTCAGCGACCTTTGACCTGACAAGTACGGCGCGACAGCAAGGACACACAACTGACTCGTTACAGAGCAGTTGCCCGAGTCGTCACTGTATCGTACCGCAACAGCAACAGTAAAGTAGTTATAACTGTATCTGTTCGTATTCCTTGTACTCTTATATAATCCTGTATCTCTTTGGTTTAATCAATCTACTTTGCCCTCACATACTAGCGCAAGGTGGTTCACAAATTCTTCACTAAACGCTTCCGCTATTACAACAAGTCCCACCCAGAGTTCACCCCTGCAAAGATCCTAAGGGCTTTTCTCAGCCCAACAGCTTCCACATATCAACCATGCTCCCGTACTATTACGTTGTTTATTGATTTGCATCTCGAAGTTTGAGACTTTAGGTTCCACAGCGCCTTCATGAAAGCGTAAATATTAAGCAACACTCAATTCCGGAACGTGCAAAGCAGCCATAAGGCTGGGCGATAGTGACTTGCACATGTTTGAGTGAAGGGTAACGTGGAAGTTCTTACAGCAACAATGGGCCCTCTTTGTGTTAAGCGTTCAGACGTGTTGTACCTAGCTGTAAGTGTATATATACAATGAAATGCTGGTTAGACACAGCCTTGCCAGTAACGAAGTGTTCCTGGTACGAGTTGCCGCCGAACACAGCACTGCCAATAGCGAAGGTAACTGTATCTCAAGTGTATCACACGCCAGGCACATGCCCGTGCTGCTTGAGTGATGCCATGTGGCTTGATTTCCGACATCGCGCAACTCGTTTATTGAATTGAATCTGCGAGCCTCTTTATTCTCAACTTTGCGCCTCGAATGCCGCTATTTCAGGCGTACGGGCTTTCCTGTCTACCATCGCATCGCCGTCGATTTCCTCGCCACCTTGGCGAGTCGCTTGCTTCATAAAAGGGTCAAAGCGGCTCGATGCGCCCTTGGTTTTCTCACATTGCGGTGCCACTCGTTTTCATTTGAGCACATTGCCACACTAGCCCCTGGGTGCGAACACCACGAAGACTCTCGAGATGGTTGTAACATGTCGTCCCCATCGTACAGGGCTCTCCGCCGCCGCATCCTTCTAAGGCGCCGGTCGTCCAGCCAATAGTAATTCGCGCTCCTCTCTCGACGCGACAAATTTCGGAAATCTGTTCTGGACGTAACCTGTACGACTCGGATTGGATTGGAAGTTCCAAACGAATTTCAGCTTCCAGAGAGGCGTGTCCTAGTGACATGTGACGTGACGTGTCCTGTCCAAGCCAGAATTACCAGCCCTTGGTTACCAGAATTTCTTGCCTCAGCAGCACACCCCTTGCCAATTCTCCCCCTCCCCTACATCGCGCCTTCCTCTGGGGGCTGTTGTTGGTCGGTAAGGGCATTCTCTCGCTTCTATGCGGCTCCAGGGCCCCCTGTAACCGATTCGAGCTGTGTCCGCTGCGCCCACTGCTTGCCCCGTTTGCTTTCTTTCCATGCCACGCTATAAGTGAGCATTCATCTTACCTCACCACAGTTTCACAATCATCCTATGGGCTTCTAACTTCTGACTCGAGTTCGGAGCAAAAGCGAACGTTTTCTCGGCATACAAGCCTTCTCTCGTTGTGCCCTCGTCTGTCCTCGCCTCGTTGCCTCCCACAACTCCTCGACTAGCCGCCATGGCTTGCAATGGCTGCAGGCTCAAATGGCTCGCCGCTGGCCTGGGCCTCGCTATAGCGCTCCTCGCCGCCTGTCACGCCGTCGACAATTACTTCGTTTTAAGACACCCCTCCGTCTGTTCATCCACGATTGACCCGGCGGCATGCGCGGAGGAGATTCGCGTCGCCCGTCGATCGCTCGGGGTACTCCCAAGGCCGATCAGCGCAACGAGCGCAGCCATGGTCACCTCCCTCACCGCGCGAGCGCATGCGATCCAGTCCTTCGCCAAGGAGATCAGGCGAATGAACTTCGCCAACGTTCGCATGAGAAACGTTGTCGCAGGCGACTGCGAGCGACAGAGCGACACGGCGCTGTACCATCTGGGAAAGGCGTCGGCGGCGCTGGCGGCCGGCAGCAACCAGGAGGACGTGCCGTACTGGCTGGCGGCGGCGAGGCGGCAGATGAGTAACTGCCTCGACGGCTTCCGGGAATTCGCCCCTGCGGCTCTCAACACGCCATCCGGCGTCATGCTTAACGTACGTCAAAACAAACTCTCACGGTAACAGACGTAAAATGAAATACAGTTAACCAAGGGTACGCTTATAACCATGCTGCCAAGTCTATCTGCATAGACGATTTGTCTCTTCGCAATAATCCATTCGTTAAAACTTGCAATCTCCCGTCTCTGCTTCGTGAACTGCCCCCCTCCGCCAGTCGGTGATCCATCGCTCAGCGGCCACTTACGACGCCGCCGTCGCTCTTGCGACAAACGGCGCGAAGGCGGCGATGGCGCAAGTCGCACAGCGCGGTCGTCAGACCCTGGAGCACGTGGATGACACACCCGATTCGGATGGCCGGCCCTCGTGGGTCGAGGCGGGGCTGTACGAACAGATCAAAGAGCTTCAAGCGCACCTCGCGGGCGATGCGGAGGCCGCGGGAACGTGGGCGGAACGCGGCAGGCGCGTCCTGGAACGGAGCGAGACGGTAAAACTGACGGGAAATCCGCGCCGCCAGCTGCAGGGCGGAACTTCCAAGGCGGCGACGAAGCTGACTCCGAACGCGGTGGTGGGCAAGGGCGAAAAGTACAACAAAATCTCCGGCGCGATCAAAGCCGCCCCGTCTAAAGGCCGCTTCGTTGTATTCATCAAGGCGGGGAGGTACAAGGAACAGCTGGTGATCAATAAGGAGGGCATTATTCTGATCGGCGAGGGCAAGGACAAAACGATCATCACCAACAGCGATAGCGTCGCCGGCGGATCGTCCACCTACGGTTCTGCTACCGTCAGTGAGTATCCCTCCTCTCGACCCTCTCATCGTCAGCCTCCTCGTATCATTTGTTTTGTTATCACTGGCAGCGATAGCGTCGCTGACGGATCGTCCACCTACGGCTCCGCTACCGTCAGCGAGTACCCACTTGCCCCCTCATTCTCTCTCCTTAACATCCCGTTCTGCCATCGTGTTCACTGGCCCTGGTTCCGTGGGACGAACACCATTCCTCACCAAATCTCGCATCTCCAACCCCGCTCCCCCTTTACCCGCAACAGCCGCGAACAAGGATGGGTTCATGGCGGTCGGTCTCACTATTGACAACGGGGCCGGGCCGGAGGGCAACCAGGCCGTCGCGCTGATGGTGAGCGGCGACCGCTCCGCCATCTACGACAGCGCCATCACGGGTTACCAGGACACGCTCTGCGTGGACGCCGGGCGGCAGTACTACAAGAACTGTTACATCTCGGGCTTCACAGATTTCATCTTCGGGGACGCGGCCGCGCTGATTGACTCGCCGACTATTTTCCTCCGGGCAGGGAAGAAAAAGGTGCAGATTACGGCGTCTGGGCGGGAGAGTGATACGCCCACCGGGATTGTGATTCGCTCCGGGAAGGTCCAATCGGAGAGCGGCGTTCGGCTGGCGTATCTGGGCCGTCCGTGGAAGGACTGTGCGCGCGTGGTGTACGTTGATACGAACCTCCCCAAGGAGATTCAGCCGGACGGGTGGAGCACGTGGAACGGGGGCAAGCCCAAGAGCTGCCATTACTACGCAGAGAAGGGCAGCACGGGGCCGGGCGCGGCCAGCTCACGTGTGTCTTGGGCCAAGCCGGGGATCATTTCGGACGCGAAGCAGTTTGGGCCGCAGACTTTCCTGGAGCTGAGCAAATGGTTGAACGTGGTGGACGGTATTCTCAAGTAAATCCGACTGGGAGAACTGGGATTCTCAGTATAGCGGGTAGTGCCAGCTCGGCACCTGCTTGTACAGGAGTGGCCCTCTCCGGCTAAATTCTCCAGCCAGTTTTCCCAGCCAACCCTCACCAGCCAAGCTTCTCCAGCCAAGCTGAACTTACATTTTGGTCTTCTGTGTCTAGCTTCCCCTGTGCCTTCCCTGCTCTATGCCTTCAGGTAGCCCATATATTAGCCACTTCTAGTGGCAGGGGCAATCTCCTCTGCAGTTACGTTCTTATTAGTGGGCGCTGTGCTTAGTCAGGGTTAGATATAACTTTCTGATAGTTGTCCGAAGGAAATAAAGTTGGGATATTTTACAGTTATCACCAAATGTCAACGCTCTACCAAATATAGTTATTACAGAATTTCAAACGAGCCATTGAAAAGTACGTTGCAAGCACCAAATCCAAAATCAAACATTCGAGGAATGGTCATGAGCTTTCTGCTCTGACAGCACTGACCACGATCACGGTTTTCCCGCGTCAGTCACAAATTCCAGCCTCTCCTCCCTCCTTTCACCCCAGCTGGAACAGCTACTCGCACATTCAGCGCACCCGCGCCGCCATGATGATCGTAGCGCAGGACATAGAGACTATCGACGAGACGCGATGAGATGAGACTAGCCCACCGTAAGGTGAAGCCATTAGAGCCGCAAGCCACGATGCAGAGCCTTTTCGAGACTCCGCTGCCTGGACTTTCCAAGTCTACGGTTTTCACTAGTCCTGTCATCGGGCGAAGCTTCCGAGCGCTTGCCGCTACGGCCGGGGTTGCGTTGTTTCTTTCCTTCCTGTACTTAGTCGCAGACGACTATTACGTTTTCCGCGCGCCTCGGGAATGTCTCTCCGCTCTCAACGGAACGAAATGCGTCTCCGAATTTCGCGTCGCGCGGCTATCTCTAGGCGCGATTCCCGCCTCCAGGCGCGCCGTGATTTACGCTCTAATGCAACGCGTCCAAACGCAAGTCCGCGCGGCTCTGCCGCTGCTCGAGGAGATTAAAGCCAACGTGACGATTAGGACTAAGTATACGGAGATTATAATGAAGGAATGCGCGGATCAGGCGGGAATCGCGCTGTACCACTTGGGACTGGCGGCCGACCGGCTCTCCTCGGAATCAGCGCGCGGCGCGCGCCCCTGGCGGCGGAACTGCTGGCGGAACTGGCGGCGGCGCTGGTGGCAGCGGAATGGTGGACGTACCGTACTGGCTGGCGGCGGCGCAGCGCCAGATGCGCAACTGCATGAGCGCACTCAATTACTTCACCCCGCCGTCGCTGCAGTCCCCAGCTGGAGTAGCCCTCACAGTGAGTTAGAGGCTCACAGTGATGCAGGGGCAGGGCACTGCTCCTTCTGCCTTTTCCCTCCCCTCGCCTGCTCACATCCGAGGTTGGGAAGGGGCGTCACGGTGATGCAGGTGCAGGGTGCTGCTCCTTTGGCTGTTGCCCTCCCCTCTCGCCTGCTCCCATCGCTGCTGTCCCCTCTCGACTGAGGGGGTTCTCTCAAGGTGCGCTGCATGCAGGGAGGGGGTGATGCGCTGCATGCACGCAGGGGGGGAAGGGGCCTCACAGTGATGCAGGGGCAGGGCACAGCTCCTTCTGCCTTTTCCCTCCCCGCACAACACCTTCCCTTGTGCCCTCCCCTCCCCTTCTGCCCCCCCTCCCCTTGTGCCCTCCCTGCCCTTGTGCCCTCGCTCCCCTTGTGCACTCCGCTCCATTTGTGCCCTTCCCTCTCCTCCTTCACAGAATGTAACCGATCAGTGCGAGTCACTTCTTGAGACTGCCGTGGCTCTTTTAAGTCCACTCGCTACACCTCCCCCTTGTGCCCGCCCCTACCCTTGTGCCCGCCCCTACCCTTGTGCCCGCCCCTTCCCTTTTGCCCTCCCCTCCCCTCGTCCGCAGAATGTAACCGATCAGTGCGAGTCCCTCCTCGAAACCGCAGTGGCTTTGGCCTCTGCTGACGTGCCACTCCTGGATCCTGCCACGTGTCAGCAGCAGCAACAATCCCTCGCGCAGCAGCGGCAGCAGCAGGCAAAGCAGCAGGGAGGGGGGCCCGAGGGATACGAGGCGCCAGCGTGGGTAGATGTGGTATCCTTTGAGTCGACTCAAAAGGCAGCAGGGCACGCAGGGGCAGCAGGGGTAGCAGCAGGGGCGGGGGGTGAGAGATACGAGGCGCCAGCATGGGTAGACGTGGCACTTTATAAGCAGATAAAGGCCTTTCAGAAGAGAATAGCAGCAGGGGTAGGGATAGGGGCAGGAGCAGGGGCAGGAGCAGCGGGAGTGGCGGCAGGAGGCGTGGGACTGATTCTGGATGCAGTGGTGGGGCGAGGGGAGCAGTACACGCGCATTCAGGTGAGCGAGACACCCCTCGCCCGTAAGTCTTTCTCATTCGAGAAGAGGGCCACTTAGGGAGGGTGGATGCGTGCGCTGCCCTCAACCCCACTTTCTCCTTCTCTCCGCTCCCTCTCCTCTCCCTCTCCTCTCCCTCTCCTCCCCCATTCCTTCTCTCCACAGCAAGCACTGGACGCAGCACCCCCAGCTGTCGAAGCCCCTCGCCCATACCTCATCTTCATCCGAGCAGGGCGGTACCGGGAGCAGGCGGATGGCTGTGCTTAAACCACTTATATCCCTCCCTACCTCCCTCCCTCCCTCCCTCCCTCCCTGCCTCCCTTCTTCCCTTCCCCCCTCCCTGCCTGTCTGCCCTCTAGCAAGCACTTGACGCAGCCCCAGCCCAAGCCAGTGGGTCCCCTCGCCCATACATCATCTTCATCCGAGCAGGGCGGTACCGGGAGCAGGTGCGCGTGGGGAGGGAAGGCGTGGTGCTGGTGGGGGAGGGGGCTGACAAGACCGTCATTACTGGCAACGCCAGTGTTGCTGATGGCGCATCCACGTACGGCTCTGCCACTGTAGGTATGATTCCCATGCTGTAATCACTCTCAGTGCTCTCAGAGCTGGTGGGGGAGGGGGCTGACTGCACTGTTAGGAGGAGGAAGCGAGGGGGAAGAGGGAGGAACTGAGGGAGGAACTGAGGGAGGAACTGAGGGAGGAACTGAGGGAGGAACTGAGGGAGGGAGGAACTGAGGGAGGAACTGAGGGAGGAACTGAGGGAGGAACTGAGGGAGGAACTGAGGGAGGAACTGAGGGAGGAACTGAGGGAGGAACTGAGGGAGGAACTGAGGGAGGAACTGAGGGAGGAACTGAGGGAGGGAGGAACTGAGGGAGGAACTGAGGGAGGAACTGAGGGAGGAACTGAGGGAGGAACTGAGGGAGGAACTGAGGGAGGAACTGAGGGAGGGAGGAACTGAGGGAGGAACTGAGGGAGGAACTGAGGGAGGAACTGAGGGAGGAACTGAGGGAGGAACTGAGGGAGGAACTGAGGGAGGAACTGAGGGAGGGACTGAGGGAGGAACTGCGGGAGGAACTGAGGGAGGAACTGAGGGAGGAACTGAGGGAGGAACTGAGGGAGGAACTGAGGGAGGAACTGAGGGAGGAACTGAGGGAGGAACTGAGGGAGGAACTGAGGGAGGTATGTTGAAGAAAAAGAGCAGTACAAATAGGGCAGAAATTGAGTGAGCAAAGTTAGGGTTTCCCCCCCACCATTATTGGCTAACCAATGGGATGGGGGCCACAGCCCAATAAGTGGGGGTTGCACATGCACACACATTCATGCCGCGTCCCTCATCCCTTCTACTGCTCACTCTCACCACCTGCAGGGGTGGATCGAGGCCGATTCATGGCAGTGGGGATCCAAATAGAGAACACAGCAGGGCCACGTGGCAAGCAGGCAGTGGCTCTCAAGATCTCCGCCGATCGCTCTGCCGTCTACGACAGCGCCATCACGGGCCACCAGGACACGCTCTGTGTGGACGCCGGGCGGCAGTACTACAAGAACTGTTACATCTCAGGGTTCACAGATTTCATCTTTGGGGATGCGGCCGCGTTGATCGACCGATCGACGGTGGAGATGCGCTCGGGGAAATCGACGGCTGTGATCACGGCGTCCGGGAGGGAGAGTAACACCCCCACGGGGATTGTGATTCGCGGGTGTAATGTGACGGCAGGGGAGGGGGTGAAGGAGGGCTCGTTTGGGCGGCCGTGGAAAAATTGCTCGCGGGTTGTGATGATCGACAATTACCTTCCAAAGGTGAGTGTGCACGGGTGGTGGTGATGATCGGCAATTACCTTCCAAAGGTGAGTGTGCACGGGTGGTTGTGATGATCGGCAATTACCTTCCCGCAGTGAGTATGCAACATGAACTGTGTTCATGCGCAAGTGTTGCTCGCTTCTGAGATGCAGAAACAGAAGCTCGCATGATTCTGCAACAGCATCTCAGAAGCAACAGGGGACGTGCAGGGGCTGTGCCCCAGCAGAACCAGCTGGCCGGCCGTGGAAGAACCGTGCATGGGTGGCGATGTGATGAATGGCAACTGTCTGCCTGCGGTGAGTTTCAGGTTTGTGATTTTCTTGTGGCTGTGCTTGCTTGGCAAGTGCTATGTTCATGCCAATGCCCATTCCCATGCCCGCGCGATTGCCTTTCCAACCCCCATCCCATGCATGTGCCATGGGGGCAGAGAATGGAGGGAGCAGGGTGGAGCATGTGGGATGGTTACTGTGCACATTCTGCCCACGCCCTATTCTCGTGCTCGTACCCGTTCCCATCCACACACCCCCACGCCCATCCCATGCACGTGTCATGGGTGCAGAGCATGCAGAGAGGAGGGTGGAGCACGTGAAATGCTGACACATTCTGCTCATGCCCTAATCTCATGCTCATACCCATTCCCATCCACATACTCCCACGCCCATCACACGCATGTGCCATGGGTGCAGTGCATGCAGGGAGCAGGGTGGAGCACGTGGAACGGTGACCCACGTGGTGACTGTGTCTACTATGCCGAGACCGGCAGCTCTGGCCCCGGTGCCCCTCGCGCTGCTACTGCTGATGCCGCTGGTGCTGCTGGTGTTGGTGCAAAAGGCGCTGCTGCTGCGGCAGGGAGGGCCTCATGGGCAAAGCCTGGCTTGGTTCCGTGGTCTCTGCCTCACTGCCCTCGATATTTCCTTGGCAAGGGAATGTAGAGATCCATACAAGCCATCCCTTTTTTGCAATGCTAGAAAAGAAGAAGATAATATAATCAGTTTTTGATTGTATATGATGTGTGATATTGAGCGGACGCTCTTCATTCGCGAGCAACGATGACTGATGATGCTCGCAACCCTCCCACGCCCTTGCTGGCTTGGTATTAGGACCAGACAAGCGCAGCCACGTGACCCGGCGAAAGAAATACACTTGGTACGAACGCTTCCACCCCCCAAAATGAGGAAGGATTCGCACATGTGCGGAAAATGCAGCAGTCACTTTTCATTTTCGAGCGCCGATGACCGATGATGCTCGCAACCCTTCTACGCCCTTGGTGGCTTGGTAATAGGACCAAACAAGCGCAACCACGTGACCCGACAGAAGAAAAACGCTCGGATGAGCGCTTCCACCCCCAAAACGTGGAAGGATCTGCACATGTGCAGGAAGTGCAGTGGGCGCTCTTCTTTCGCGAGCGCCGATGACCGATGATGCTCACAACCCTCCCACGCCCTTGCTGGCTTGGTAAAAGGACCAGACAAGCGTAGCCGCATGACCCGGTGGAAGAAAAACGCTCGGAACGAGCGCTTCCAGCCGCAGGCGCGACGCGATGGGGCCGCTAAGGCGGCGCGACAGGGTCGAGAGAGGGGAGCGCGACTCGGGCAGTGTAGAGCGCGCTCCGGGCAGGAAAAAAAAAAGGTGGTGGGCCCTAGGAACAGTTCCCACAGGGGAACCTGCTCGATACCATGAGAAACTGAACGAGAATGGATTGACTAAGGGAAAGTTGGGTACAAATGTAAACCCTAGAAAACTGTACCCCATATGTGCTACCCCACTATAGCCTACAGTAGCTATGTCATATAAATCTGACAATTTCAACATGATTGAGGACCCAGTGCTAGACAAGTCAAATCGTCAAGGTGTTGTTGGAGATAACAACAGAATGATGCACATGCTGCAAGGTTTCCATCTGAGGGGCGTGTTCAGGGAGCTTAATCCAGATGAACGGCAGTTTACCTTCTACTGCGGTTCGGCGAAAGTCAGCTGCAAGAGCGCTGCTGCATCTGGTGCTGGTTGGCAGGGTGCTGGTTTCACAAGCGCTGCTGCATCTGGTGGCCAGGGTGGCTCATCGAAGGATCCCGAAGGGGATTACTGACCACAAGTGCGGTGTCTGCGTGCGGTTGGCGTGGAGAGGTGCGCAGGAGCCCGGGCCGGGTGTCTGGCGCTTTCCGACGAGGCTGGCGAAACGCCCTGGTGTTGGGGTGGCGGTGGCTGAGGTGGTTCGGAAGCACGAAGCGGAAGGGGGAGGTGACTTTGACAAGCTATCCAGACGCCTGGGAGCCCGTCTGCGGAAGTACGATAAGGAGGAGAGAAGGCGGGTTAGGCGGACTCGGCGTGCATTGGAGGAGCAAGTGAGCTCACTGCAACAGAAAGTTATGGCGGATCCGAGCGATGACACGTTACAAGCAATGCTGACGAGCAAGGAGGCGATGTTGGAGACGTATTGGGACGGTCGTAGGAGCCTCCTGCAAACGAGGACGGTTCTGCGGGTGCAGCTTAATGGCGAGGCACCCACTGCTCTTCTGTCGGCGCTGGTCAAAAGCAGGAAAGCGAAGTCGGGAATCAAAGAACTGGTCCGTAATGGTGTGAGTCACACAGAGGCTCGGGAGGTCCTGGCAGCGGCCACTAGCCATTTCGCGGAGGTTTTTTATGAGCAGACAGGGGGAGATGTGGAAGAACCGGTGTTGGACTGGGCCCCGCGTAGGATACTCGAGGAGGCATCTGCCGAAGTCATATCAAGGGACTGGACAGAGGCAGAGGTTAAGCAAGCTATACGAGAGATGGCCAACGGCAAGTCGCCAGGCGGCGACGGTATCCCAAAGGAGCTTTTCTAGCACCAGTGGGATTTGCTGAAGAGGCCGGTGATGAGCATGGTTGAAGACTTCGTGTCGTCAGGGAAACTGCCGGAAGTGGCGAACGAAGCAGTTACGATTCTGCTCTACAAGAAGGGGGAGGAGACAGACGTCAGAAACTACAGGCCAATAACGCTACTGACTAGCATCTACAAAATTCTGGCGAAGGTGGTGGCGACCAGGATGAAAGCAGTACTGGATCAAGTGATTTCTAAGGAGCAGTTCGGGTTTTTACCTGGCAGGCGGCTTGCAGATGCGGTGTCGCTGGTAGCCGATATGATCGAGACGGCCAGGAACGAAGGCAGTGATTGGTATTTGCTCCTCATCGATTTCGAGAAGGCGTATGACTCGGTACGGAGGGGTTTCATGCTGGAGACGATTGGCAAGGTCGGTTTCCCCCCGCGGTTTGTGGGGTGGATTGAGTCTCTGCACAGGGATGTACACACGAGGTTGTGCATTAATGGGTGGGTTGGAGATCAGATTCAGATGCGGAAAGGGGTGCGGCAAGGGTGCCCGCTAGCACCGTACCTGTTCTTGTGCGCGGTGGAGCCTCTTAGCCGTCTGGTGGAGAAGAGGGAGCTGGGGATTGGAGAGAAGGGCTGCGAAAGGCTCGCGTACGTGGGGTACGCTGATGATACCACGCTACTGCTGGAAGGAGAGGCACAGTTGTCGGAAGCAGGAACGGTACTTCAAGACTTTGCGGCAGTGTCAGGGCTGAAGGTGAACACCGGGAAGTCTGCCGTGCTGCCGCTGGGGAAGAACGTGGGGGAACCGGCGCCGGCTGGTCTGGGCTACAAGTGGGTGGAGGAAAAGACTGCGGAAAGGCTGTTGGGGGTGTGGATAACACCTGGGAGGGACGCAGAGGTTACGTGGGAAAAGGCCTTCGACAGGGCGGCAGGGGAACTGAGCAAATGGCAGGTGAAGTACTTGACGACGGGCGCGAGAGTCACCATTATCAACAGCTATATCATCCCGATATTTCTCTTCCAGGCGCAGGTATATCCCCCGGATGACCTGCTGTGGAGGAGGGTGGAGAAGTTGATTGAGAACTTCGTGTCAGGAAACAACGCGGATACGGAAAAGCATTTCAGACTTTGGAGCGGCGGGCTGATTTACGTGCCGAGAGAGCTAGGGGGACTGGGGGTAATTGACCCACGTGGAAGAATTGACAGCGTGGCCTTACAGTGTGCGGGTCTGACGCTGTTGCAAGAGTGCTCCTTGCGACGTGGGCTGGCGGAACGCGTGGCGGGTCTGCCCCTGGGGTGGGCGACGCTGTATGCACACAAGGCGGTGCTGAAAGGGGGACTGATACAAAGCAGGAGGTGGGCGAGAATTTGTAAAGCGGTGATCAAGTCGACAGTGGTGGAGGTGAAAGAAGCGTCGTCGAGATGGGAGGTGGCGGAGGAATTCCTTTGTTTCAACAAATGGATTATTCACCGGGGGAGCGCTCCGTTTGGTGGGCAGAAAGGCACTGAGAAGCTGAGAAAGTGGAAGATGCGGGACATGGTTCTACGGAAGTGGGATGGTACGGTGGTTCTGAAGTCGAAAGAAACACTGACAAGGGAGCTGGGGAGCGAAAAGGAAGCAGAGATGGCGCTCAAGGCGTTCGCGGCAGCTCCAGAGCAATGGAGGAGGTGGCTGCTGGCGCCGCTGACGGCAGACGAAGTTGCAGCTGCGTCATCGGTGGTGTGCACCAAGCTTTCGGGAGGTCAACGGTGTCTGTGGGAGATCAGCGCGTGCATGGGGAGGAAAGTCGAGCTAAGCGGCCTGGATGGGAAAGGGGAGCGAACGGCATGGAAGGTCAAAATTGTGCTGGGGTGTGACAGCGTGGTGGCTGTGGTGCTCTCCAAGGCACGGGTAGTGAGGGAGTTTGGGGATGCTAGGGCGCGGTTGCTGGGATCGCCCCTGGTTGAGGAAGACAAGGTGGCCCCGCTAAAGCGCCTCAGGGAGCCGAGCAAGAACGTGGAAGCGGAAGAGGCGAAGAGGGCGAGCTGGGAAGCTCGGGCGGGCAGGAAGATTGACTGGGAAAGGGGGAGGCGCATCAGAGACTCCCTGGTCACCCCACTGCGTGCGCGGGGATCCGCACATGTGAAGGAAGTGCTGCGGGCGCAACCCATTCGTGAGCGCCGATGACCGATGATGCTCACAACCCTCCCATGCCCTTGCTGGCTTGGTAATAGG